ATGAAAATCAGAGCTGCCTAGAGTTGCCTAATAGCTTTAAAAATATGAAGAGTCAAATATGTGATCTCTCAATTTGTTACTTCTTTGGTACAGTACATGCTACTACAAAAGGCAAAGGCTTAGTTAAAGTCATCTCTACTCTGTGCTTCCTGTTACTATCTTCTGTCCTCCTAGGATAGAAGCTTTGTGCTCTTCTGTACTCTAGTTACAACTGAAAAATGTAGAGTTTTGTTTTCTCTTGAGCTGTGTGATCTGAGTAACCTGGATATGTTCATGCTCTGTGCCACCTAGTCAGTGTGAATTTTCTCTCTTCTGTATGATGCAACATCAGACCTCAAGAGATAAAGGTCAAAACAACCAACCTCTGAAAAAAAAAACAAATTTTTGTTATGTCTGTCCAAACCTTCCTCCCTGTGGAATCTACTTCAGTGCGCTCATCCTGGGCCTGTTAGAGCCTAATGCAGCTTGCCTCAGCCAGGACAGGTGATGATGTGCAAGTAGCTGCAGCAGCCACAGCCCCTTGCCTGCCAACATTAAACTTCATCTCATTTTCAGAAATCAATGGTTGTAAAACTCATAAAAATGAGTTTTTTATTGCTTTACAAAGTGTTCTTCAAACACACAATCTGTAATGGGTACTTTACAGCCTAGCAATACCCTGTCTCTGCTTATAGCGTGTAAGCCGTAGAAGAGGTTGAATATAAGCCAAGGGAACAGACACTGAGTACTTGAAGTGACAACCAGGAATGACAACACATCTCTTCCTAGTACAAACAAATTAGCAGTGAACATGTTTCTTTTCTTTCTTTCTTCTGGGAGTGGAAAGATGTTCATGTTTTCATGGGACTGAGTTTCTTCCATCATCTGACAAGACCTTATTCCTTCCATCTCTCCCAGCTTGCTAGCAGTTTTGGTTTCTGATGGACTTTTGTGGCATAACACAGTGATGTCTCATGGCCCTCGTGTGTGCCAGCAGCTTCTATCCGGTGCTGGTAGTAGCTTCACAGTGCCCTGAACTAAGACTTTTAATATATTGGTCACCTGTGTGTGGGTAAGTGCCTGAGATCTTCTGAGTTCTGATCAGATATCTGGCATTAGCATATCTTAATACTTGTAAAGAATTTCACAGTAACAGTAGCAGAAATGGATCTGGGCACATCACAGACTATTTTTTTCTAGAAGCCTTAATGGCTTTTTTGATGGATTTCCAAACTCTGCTCATTTACCATCCTAAAAATGATAGGGAAAGAGAAAGTAAGAGCTGTTTTCATTCTGCTGAGCATAATTGATAAAGTCAAGTAATTAGCATGGATCTTTTCTTCATTTATGAAGACCATTCTTGACCTTGATGAGGCTTATTTGGGAGCACTATCATGACTTTTCTGTGTACTAGGAGAGCAATTAAAATACAGTGCATTTTTCAGGGTGTACTGGAGGTCTGTTTTCTGTCCTTTAATGGGAATACCCATAAATTCTGAGGAGTTCTCCATGTGCCTATATGGAAGACTCCCCAGCATCTGGAAAAATAGTTCTTTTTATTTTATTGTGCTTAAAACACCAGATCCTTGTTTTCCTTGAGGAGTAAAGCCTGTTGTAGGTCAGCCTGAGTGCTCCTATATTCTGATCCAGCCTGCCCTGGTGTTCTGGGGTTCTACTGCATTGATAAAATATGGTAGCAGAGAGGATGGTTCATTTCCTGTCCACTGTAGAAAAACAAGTTAGAGAAAATGATGTATATAAAAGTACCTGTTTTAGAAAGCAGAGGGTGACATAACTGGGTAATTGTCTTTCTCACTTCAGGTAGCAGTGGTGCCTTGCTGTGGTCTATGACTCCTAGGTAAAGGAGCACTGTAATTGTTTGTTCACATATATGGTGAGCTGCAGGATTTGTTTATTTGCAGTATTAGGAAACCTGCTGCTTACAGTGTTTCAAATAGCAACTGGTTTAATTTTTCTGGAAGTTGATATTCCTCTGAATTGGGAAACTATTCTAATTAAAAAAGAACCCTTGTAGTTGCTGCAGTTGAAGCAGTGTTTAATGTTGTGCAGTTATTGGCAGCAGACTTGATGCGTTTTCACATGACCCCCCTCTGGAACAAAAGCAGATTGTTTCACTCTGTTTTTGTATTATACAAATGAGTTCCCTTTGAAACAATTTCTTTTTTTTTTCCTGCAAATTCTGGATATAACACCAGGAGTAGTTCTTCCTCCACTGTGCCTTTTACGATGTGCTGTGTGATAACTGTGGAACAAAAGCTACCTGGGGCAGCAGCCCTCCTAGTAGAAAGTCTTCTCCCTCTGCAGAAAGTCTTCTTTCGGGAGTGCGCTCTTCTTACAGTTTTATGAAAGGGTTGAACATGGAGTTTTCTTTCTTTCCTTCTTTGCTATGTATAGCTTGGTGTGATTTGTTTCTACTTTTCGAGTTGTTTTCATACCTTAATTTCTTCCAACGTCTAGCAAAAAAATAATAAATAGCCAATCAGTTATGAATTGAGCTTAGTTTGGGTAACAAGTCCTTGGTTTTGAATCAAACTCTACCATCTCAGGTATTCCCCTTCAAAGCAGGAAGCTGAAATTAGGAGCAGGTTGTGGTTTATCAGATGAATGTGTAACTAAATTGTTATTGGATCAAAGGAGCAACTGATAAACTAATTGAGGTTTCAGACAACACAATAAATAATCAGCTGCATAGTGAGCACTTTTCCTCTGGGGATATTTAATAGCTATCAGATTAAAGAAAGAAGCTTGTTCTGGATAATTTTCTTTCTTTCCCTTGGAAATTGGGTACTTATTTCTAAAAGTCTTCCTGACGTTCTGATAGCACAGCCATATCTCAGTTCGATGTCAGTGCTCCTAGGATACCAGCGTGCCACCAGCACTCATAAATTGTGTCGTAATTGGTACTGAAAAGCAATTTAAAGAATGGATGTTCTTGTGAAGTGGATACTTATTTGGACCAGACTTCTTCAAAATTCTGAATGGGGAAATAAACTGGCATGAATCTGGACTACAAAAGACTTTTTACTTTCCCTGTTATTTTGAGTTCTTGGTGTTTTGGGTTTTGCGTGTGACCAAATTTCAGGGTAGTTTCTGTGTCTTTGTGTAGTTCAAAACACTAGAAATGGCTTTGAGTGCACAGATTAAGGAAGTTCTCTGTGTCCTTGAAAATGCAGTGGGTAAAGATGGGCTTGGGGTGCAGCCAGAAATCCTGTAGGAGCGCTGGAGCCTCAAGGTTACGATGTGGTGGAAAGGATGTGGGATTATACAGAACAACAAATGATGTAAATACATTCTTGTCTATTTAATTCTCCCGGTGTCATGGGAAGTAGAAACTGAAATGAAATTGAGGCCCTGCCTGTCCTGCAAGCAGCCATGGAGATGGAGTGGGCCCCAGCTCTGCTTGGGGATGTGCATGGGACCCTGCGCATCCTTGGCATCCTGTTCGCTGTTCTGCTGTCCTCAGGAGAAATTGAGGTGTCAGTGCCAGCTGACCTAATATTTATTTTACTTGTGTAAATGGGAAATATCCTAAAGGCAGCGTTCTAACAGGTAAAAGTAAGGTGTTTCCTTAGCTAGGGAAAAAGAAAAAAAGAAAAAGAAAAAGATGAACTTCTTTGTTGTCAGCTATATACAAACTTGAAAACTTGCGTAATGGTTTCACTTTTCACTGTATGTCGACCTCTTATGAGTTGCTTGCATTATTTCCATGTAACTAAAAATTGCTGTTAATGTGAGTACTGAAGGGAAGAGAAACATCAAAAGGTGAAAATTATACTGCTGGAAAAGGGCAAAATTACTTTAATGAAAGCTCTGTTATAATTTGAAGAAATTGGAAGGAATTCTGCATAGAGAAGAGGAAATTGTGTGTGTGTATATATATATTGAAAGCAAAAAGAAAGTTTCTTCCTCTTCTCATAAGAATTTAATGAGTGTCTCAGTGAGGGCTACAAAGATGGAGGAGGGTCTGGAGGTCGGGAGGTGTGAGGAGCAGCTGAGGTCCCTCGGTGTGCTCAGCGCAGAGCAAGGAGCTGAGGGAGGCCTGATGGCGGCTGCAGCTCCTCACAGGGAGCCGAGGGGCAGCACTGAGCTCCGCTCTGTGTGACAGCGACAGGGCCTGAGGGAACGGCATGGAGCTGCGTCAGGGGAGGGCAGCTGGGGGTGAGGGACAGGGCTGCACCAGAGGTGGTGGGCATGGAACCGGCTGCACAGGGCTGCGGGCACGGCCCTGAGCTGATGGAGCTCAAGGTTTTGGGCAGCGCTCACAGACAGAGTTTGAGTATTTTGGGTGCTCCTGTGTGGAGCCAAGAGCTGGACTCCAGATCCTTATGAGTCCGTCCTGTACCTGAGGGGTGTTACTTTATGAGAGTTTGCCAGTAAGGAAGCTGTGAAAATGAAGATCTTCATGCTGTGAATTGCAGTATTTCCCTTCCTTGCCTGTGCAACACTGTTATCCTGTAGTTGTTCATCGGTTGGTTTTATGGGCTGTTAATCACAGCTGTAATCAGTCACCTATTCACAAAGTGATAGAGAGCCAGTTTTCACGTTTTTCCTTCCCTTCCTCCTCCCCAGCTAATGTTGCCAACTATTTGAAGTTCTTTGTTAAAATAGCTTCATAGTATTTATGTAGGAATTTCAGTGTTGCTGTTCTGTTCAAGGTCCAGCTCTCCTCCTTGTAGAGCAGTCATGCCAATTACCATCCTGTATTTATACTCTTAAAATACTGAACTAGAAAGAACTTTTGATTAAACTGCACTAACTGTTTTAAACCTCCGTGTTTCTGTATCCGTGATTAAATGCACATCTTTACAGCTGTTTCTCTGTGACACTAGAATATGTTTTCTGTACTTGTACTGTCTTTGCTAATAATGTCCAGTATCTGTCTGCAATTTTTGTATATTAGATTTTTCTTTGTTAACCCGAGCAGTTGGTATTCAGATAATTGAACTGTTTCTGTGCAATGAAAAATAACTAACTTACTTTTCATTTTTCCATTTCACCAGATTGTAGAATGGAACGTCTGGATAAAACAATCAATAGCTACCTGGATGTTTGGCTTGGACCCAGAGGTAGGCTTTTTCAGAAAATAAAATAGTATAACTGATTCAAAAGAACAGACACTGGAGCATAAGAAGAACATTCCTAGCAACCTGACTTTGAAAAGTGATCAGTTTTCTTAATATCTACAGAGCAACATAATGTGTGATTCTATAAGAAAGTAGAAATGTCTCAGTGCATGTTCTCTTCTAACCTGGAGAGCTGCTTATTTTTTAGCTACAGCAGTCTGAGATGCTGTTCTCTTTACTAGCAGTTACATGCCAGTGTTAGCCTCAGTGACCTACTGATCTCACTCAGGTCTTCGCAGGTTTTGTCTTAGAAGTTAATGATAGGTTTTATTGGAAAATAAATCTTGTTAGAATTTGCATTTGATTGAACAAAAATACTGTTATCTTCATAATTGGAGCTGCTTACTTCGCTTTCACTGAAATAAATTTTAAGAAGTGTTTTTTAGAATGCATTTCTTCTTCGGAGCCATTCTTTTTAAAGAAACAGTGGTTTTGGTGAGCTGTTCACTGGGAAAAAGTTCACAAGTGGAGAGCAGAAATCCTGCTCAGTATGAAGGGAGAGGCATTAACACCAGAGAAGACAGTGTCCTTGCATGAGGGCTTTCACCCAGGCTTCGTGTGATCCCGTAAAGGGTGCACAGTTAACCCAGGTGGTGTTGCTCAGTACTTGTTTTTCCTCTTCCAGTGGCGTACTTCCTCCTGCTGCCTACCCTCTTTCTCTGTCCAAATGAAGCTCCTGCTGTTGCCTCACAGGATGAGGTCCATCAGGGAGCTCCTCTGGTCCTTCAGAGAGTGCTTTCTGCTTGCTCTTGAGTTGTTTGGTGCCCTGGTTGTGCTCACCTTCATGCTAAACCTGTTTAGATTAGTCAGGATGTTGTGATATGACACACTGTTCATACTTTCACATAGCCTATATTTGCCATGTTTTGAAAATTAAGGCAGTAAAATCCAAACAGATCCTAGGTTTTCTTAGCCATTTCCCAACCTATGTTTTAAAGCCTTATCTCTTATGATCAGCTTACACATTTGACTCCTTTGCAAAGAAGACATTGCTGGTTCATGGTTTGGCAAGCATGGCTTCTATCCTTTAGACAGGGCTCAGGTGAAGGTAGTTAAATGCCATGCTGTTGCTGGGTAGAGACCACGGCAGTGACTGTGGAAAAAAGTGTGACGCACTTGTCTCAGGCATTTCTCTGAAGTGCTCATTCTGAGCAGCTGATGTGCTTTTTCTGAGGAGCTGATGTGCTTTTTCAGTATTTTGCCAGCTGATCTGGGTAGTCAAACAGGACTGACTGTTTTGTGTTTCATTGCGAACACAAGGACTACAAAATTTAAGTATGGTAAGTAGCACACTTGTTAATCTAGTTAGGCTAGTATTGATACAATGCAGATAACAATGCAGACTACAGAAAGCTATCAGGACCATCTGCTGAGACCCTCAGAGCGTCCACTTCACTACTGGCTTTGCTGGCTCTATGAGGGAATAAAAACTGTGCTGTTGGGAAAGGCTGATTTGAGAGAACGAGAGAAGATGATAGAATCATAGGATCATGGAATAGCTCAGGCTGGAAAAAACCTTAAAGGTCATCAGGTCGAACCACAGCCTAACCATACTACCCTAACAGCCCTCTGCTAAATCATGTCCCTGAGCACCGATTGCTGAAGCTTTGCTTTATAATTTGAACTCATGTTTGGTATTCAGGATGGATGGAGCTTCTGAGCAGTAGTTCGTATTTCACTCATAATAATTAGATAGTAGTTTAGAAATATCTTTGCCTTATAAAGATTTCTATTTCCTTTAACAACCATGTAAATAAAATCTTGCTTCTGAAGTTGTTTGTAATTAGTAACATAGCCCTTGATAAAAAGATTTGCTGTTCTCCCTTCATCTTTCTCTGTCATTCTGATGCTAGAATCATTCTTGAGTAAAGATTTTTCTGGATGCATTGAGTTCTTCTCCATTCAAAAGTCTAAGTGTTTGTAATTTTGTTTGTTTGTTTCAGATCCCAGAGTAAAAGGATGGCTTCTTCTGGAAAATTATACACCTACCTTTATCTTCTCAGTCTTGTACTTACTAATCGTATGGCTAGGACCAAAGTACATGCGGAACAAACAACCGTTCTCATGCAGGGGGATTCTAGTGGTCTACAACCTTGGACTCACACTGCTTTCTCTGTATATGTTTTATGAGGTAGGAAAAAGCATTTGGGTTGGGGTTATTTTGCAGTGTCTGTTTTAATTATACTGGCTTGTGTTGAAAATGATCTATGAAGATAGTCCTGCTAAACATGGGGAAACATCAGCAAAAATGTTACATGATTCTTTAATGTCACTTCTGAGAGGAGAATACTCCCATTGCCTAGAAGACAGGCTTAACTGGATTGCTTTGATAGATTGTACAACATACTTGGCAGCAAAACTATATCTTGTTTTGAGTGCAAAATGTGTTTTATTTAAATGTGTTTAATCACAAACTCTTTGCATCTGTTTGTGTAAGCTTGGAAGCTTACACATGTCCTCTTAATTTTGCTGAAACAAATTTTGCATCTAGACAGTTGTGATTCATCTGTTTGTGAATGTTAGAATCTGAACATACAAATAGATTTCAAAGTGAAGTGGACTTATTTTCTTTCTTAACAAAACAAAGATTTGTGCACTATCGAGTTTTATGCTTCCGTAGAGCTATTTAGCTGCTCGTAATTGAGATTGCATGCCTTTGATTAACGTGAAAATGGAAAACTATGGCAATTTAAATAAGAATGTGGTCAATAAACAGTGCAGCATGTGGCTTTAATGTACAGAATATTGTGGCTTGCCTTTAACCAGAAGCATTTCTCTTTTTGGTAAGGAGTTATTTCATTTTCAACATGGAATTACAAACAAAAGCTAAAGCTCCTGCTTTCCTTGAGTGGAAGAGGGGGACATTTGCTTAGAAATACATGCAAGTTATAATTCTTAGAGGTTTGTAGTGTCTTAAGAGATGAATTTAGATAGGAAATGATTTAAACTTAAAGGCAATTTCTCTTGTATAGTGAAGAGTTTAGTCAAAATTGCTGTATTGATTTGGATTATTGAGAATTTTGATACTTAATTCTTTAGGATGAGCAGTGTGGGATTCAATAGGTACTTAGAACAGCTTGTATTCTCTATTTGTTCTCACTTCTAATCTTCCTTTCAGGATATTCTAAATCCTGAGTGAGTGTATGAGTGTGAGGAGTGCATACAGAATTTGCACATTGATGTGTTAACACATAGTGTTGCTGTGGACTTCATTGACAGTACCTGCATTGTTAGTTTATCCAGAGATTACTTATACAGTAATTCATATTATTTGAACCTTTATATTACAAGTGCCAACTTTTCTTCAGTTGTACTAAGTATGGATAAAATTCTTAGCATAGCCAATCTTCTTTTCTTGAATACTTGAAATAATTCTCATAGTTTCCAAATGAAAACTACTGTATGAATTTAAACAATAGAAAAGATTTGAACTGCTGATTGTAGGCCTTTATAAGACTTTCCTTGCTAATAGTGAGTAGGTTACTAAGAAAAGTTTATGTTGAAGTTCCTTGTACTTGCAACCACTTGAATAGCTTTTATATTATCTCATCCTTCACAGTTACAACACGGTGAATATGAAGGTTTATGCTTTCTATAAAGTAAAACTCTTCACATGGGTTTGAACCACCCTTTCTGTAAAGAAGTTTTTCCTGATATCCAAACTAAATGTCCCCCGGAGCAACTTGAGGTCATTCCCTTTGTCCTGTCATATAAAGCTGCAGTGTTATGACGACTCATGATAAACTCATGATAACTCATGACAATTACAACAAAATGCTTTTGAGATCATCTCGTAAGTGAGTTTGCTCTTTTGTAGCCTATGTTGTCTTAGAAGACCACTGGATGTCCTTTACTGTGAGCATTCCATGCTTCTTCCCTGCCAATGCAGCAACATTGCACGTGGTGGACTTCAGGGCTACAAAGGCGATGGGGGGCCTGGAGCATCTCCCTCACAAGGAGAGACTGAGAGACACGGGGCTGTTCAGGCTGGAAAAGAGAGGAATGAGAGAGGGTCTTGTCAATGCTTATCAAAGGATGGCATGGGGCCAGCCTCTTTTCAGTGGTGCCCAGCAACAGGGCGAGGGGCAACAGGCACAAACTGAAGCATAGGAAGTTCCATACAAACATGACAAAAATTTTCTTTACAATGAGGGTGACAAAGCACTGGAGCAGACTGCCCAGAGAGTCTTTTTCTCTGGAAATATTAAAAACCTGCTCAAACGCTTTGCTGTGCAACCTACTGTAGGGAACCTGTTTTAGCAGCGGGTTGAACTAGAACATCTCCAGTGTCCCTTCCAACCCCTGTGATTCTGTGACTTGGTAGCAAGCAGTGGTCTGCAGCAAGGACTGATGCCTTAAAATATTGCAAGTCGACAGCCTTGCTGACATAACACTGTGCTGCTCGCTGTTTGCAGGATGAAAGCCAAAGAGCCAGGTGATAGTGAAAAAGTCAGATTCCTAAACTTAATGTACATCTGCTGGCTGCAGTGCGTGCCTCTGTAATAGCCGTGTCAGTATAAAGCCAGCAACAGCCTCACTCAGACCACGTCTGTCACTGAAATTTAGCTGTGAAGGATGAGTGATCATCAGTCATACTTCATGACACGTGTTCTTTTTCAAGCTAAAATGATGACAGTAAACAATCAAAAAAGGAACAGGGAGGTATAATACCTTTCTCATCTCTGTATTTCATTGTATTTCAGCTGAATTAAACTTTTATCAGACCTAGTTTAAGGACAGACATAAAACAGCACCACATACAAACTTGTTCAATATCCTATCTGAAAATAAACCGTTTTATTAGCTTGCTATTAAACTTCTGCCTGGGAGTTTCTCCTGAGTTATAGCTGTCATGGTTCAGCCTGTGAATCATAGCATCACAGCTCAGTTTTAGTGTTGTGTGACCAAAACATGATATTGAAGTGAGGCGTCCTCCCAGCCAAGATGAGAATGATGATCTCGTTGGTTTTCTGACCTTTTAACCTGAATGTTTGTATGCACTAACATAGGGGTGGGAAAAAAGTGTGGGATTTGTATAATTCCAGCTACTGTGTTCTTGCTTCATTTGGTGGTCTGATGGTCTTTTTGGCCTTTAAAATCACATCTTAGACTTCTTATTCACACAGAATCACAGAATCACAGAATCACCCGGGTTGGAAGGGACCCCAAGGATCATGTAGTTCCAACCCCCCTGCCTAGCAGGGCCACCAAACATACACATTCAGATCAGGTTGCCCAGGACCCCGTCCAACCTGGCCTTAAACACGTCCAAGGACGGGGCATCCACAGCCTCCCTGGGCAGCCCGTTCCAGGGCCTAACCACTCTCCTAGTAAAGAACTTCCCCCTAACATCCAACCTAAATCTTCCCTCCTTCAACTTAAAACCATTTCCCCTAGGTTTGTAGGTAGTATTTTATGTACATAATAAGTATAAATTATCTATTCTGGCATTTAATGACTGGAAAAAGCTGGGGTGTGTTCTGATACTATCAAAAGAGAGCAGTGGGCTGCTTGTCTCAGATAATTTTAGAGGAAGGCAGGCCCTGGGGAGTGGAAGAGGTTCCTCTCAACTGCCCTGTCAGTTCCTATTTGAGGAAACTGGCCTGTGATGAAGGCTCACTTTCTGAAAGCAATCTCTGTGTCTTCACTCTTCATATGAAGCACCTGCCTGTAGCCAGGCTTGGGCCTTGGCTGGTATCAGAACACAAAATCCTTCTCCACCAGCCATCTCCACAGCCAGTTCAGAGTGGTGCAGGTATGCTGCTTTATTTTGACAGCAAATGTGATAAAAACCACATGCTGCAGCATTTTGAGGAACTCGATTGCAGCACAAACATACTATAAAAATGAAAGAGAGAAGGAAGAGAATCCTACTTAAGCACAAAAGCGACTTTGAACTGCCGTGTTTTCCCTGGGGCTGAGGAACTTAACACTGCCTTGGAGTGCTATTTTAACTGGATTATGAAGGAGCTGTCCTCTTGGTGTGTCATTTCAAAATGGCAGACTCTGGAAATGATTACAGTCAGCCTGTTCTGCACAGGTTAATTTCTCAAGAGAAGATAGCCTGTGGCCGTGCATCAGCAGTGCCATTAGCAAGCCTGGGCTCCTGCCAGCCTTGAGCTGGAGGACGTCCTGAGGTCAGCTGGCCAGCAAAGGCCATCTTGGGCCCACAGCAGCTGTAGGAGGGCTCAGGAGGTGGAAGCAGGCCACAGGAAGCACAATAAATTACTTAAATGCACCTGCTGACAATTTGTGACACCAACATTTTAAGCGAACAGCTCCATTAGCTCTATTTATCGTTTTCTGCATTGATGTGCCCAGCTCTGTACACAGCGCAGCCGTCTGGGAACTGCTGTTGGTCAGATCTCAGAGCAACCTATTGTTTCTGTTTTCTGAGGCCTTCCAGCATGTGCTGAAAGTGATGTGGCTGTAATAAATAGTGGGAGAGCAGCTGATCCCTGTGAAAAACCACCACCTATGGGTGCCGTGTGTTACTCAAAGCAAGGCTCACGGACACTAGTATGAGCTCATGGCAGTTTCTTTTGGAAAGGAAGGTTTGATTTTTCTTTAGTAACTATACTATTTCTATGTGAAAAGATACTGCTGTTTCCTACAAACATTGCCTTGCTTGTATCATTTACAGCATTATGACTGTGAAATAACACTACCATTCCTAGCATATTACAATATGCTCTTCTGGAAACAAGGAAATACTTGACTGAAGTTTTACTGAAGCTACCTACATTCACACTGATGCCTTTATTCTTTAAATAGCAGAATCAATCTGGACACCTTCTGTCAAGCTTTATGTAGTGAACCTGTATCCTTGCAGGGAAAGCCCCCTGGGTGTCACTGTGCTAGCCTTTGCTCTGAAGGAATTCCTGGAAGAGCTGAAGATGGAGGCTGACCCTTGCTGTTTGCAATTATCACCATGCAAAAGTGATTATTCCTCTGTTTCTCACCCTTCTTTGAACTGTGAAATCTGCATGAAGACATCTGTAAGCTCTTAGCAACACTGTTACAGCACAGTGTGGTCTGCCTGATGGACTAGTGAGCACCCAAGAAACCTTATAGGCTTTCCCTCAATGCTGTCAGAGTAGCTTGGTGTAAGGTTTGTCCAGAGAGGGTAGCTGGTACCTGGATGAGTTCTCCTTGCTGCTTGGATAGAGAAATTGCTTGGGTCTGCTGCTGATGCACAAGGCTGCCTTGCTGTCACTGTCATGGTAATATTGATTGTTCTCCATTACATGAGGTAATTTCAGGTCTTTATGTTAAGGTATTACTGGATGTCTTTCCCCCCCCCCCCTTCCTCCACTAAATAGTGGCCATAGTTCTATTTCAGGAGGTCTAAAGTAATGACCTAGACTGACTGGGTATTTTTAAAGGTAATTTAGGGAGAAAATGAGCCATGAAAGAAATAACATTAGGAAAAGGTCATTTAAATCATAATCTTTATTGTACCTTTCAGAATTAATTTCCCATTCACAGTTCTGGACAGCGTTTAATAGCACCAGTTATTGTAGCAACTAATTATTTTAAATGACTTACAGTACATTGAGTTTTTAACCATGGCCTTACAAAGCCTGTTTGTTTTTTTTTAATTCTCCATGAGTGTAGATGAGGCCCAGAATGGACAAGTCACTTGTGCAGGATGTCTGTCCATGCTTTTGGAAAGAATTTTTAGGTTGCCTTCCCATTCTTTTTACAATTGGAGGTAGTTTAAATTCCCTATTCCTCTTCTAATACTATTTCCAAGAGGAAAAAATGTCTTTCTAAACATCAAGCAGGCTCTTCTGTCATGATTATTACTTTAATAGAAGCACTGATGGCAACCTCTTAAAAGTCAGAAGCCAGAACCACCAGGGTTCTCCCTTGGTTTTAAAAATAAATAGCTTAAATAGCAAGCTGCCTCCTGGCCACGTTATAAGCCAAGACACTTGTTCTCATCCTGTCCTCACACCTACTGCCCTCTCAGGTCCCACCTTCAAAATCTCCCTTCCAGGTGCTCCTCTCTCTCGCCCTTCAGAGCCTGCTTCAGCCTCTCCCTTTGCAGTCTGCCTGCTCCCCATCACCCTTCATACACAGAGCTCAGGGACAGCGGTGTGATCCGCAGCTGTGGGAAAAGCATGGGACACGGGCACTGGCAATGGATCCGGATTCCACCTTGGTTTCAGCCAGCCCCAGGCAAAGGACTCCTCATCACCCTCTCATGACTGGTAGCTAGCTGGTCATTACTCCTTAATTACTCTGCAAAGTAATTTTGTCATAATTGAGGTATTATTTGATATATCAGGAAGTCAGGCAGGCAGTGACAGAGACTGAAGAGGAAGTCACTTGGATGGTGAAGAATGTAATGTGCTTGGAATTAGGGATTTATTCAAAAAGATTTAAAGAATCAACATATGGTAAAGCATTAGTTGTTAACTGTTAAGGATAGCAAAGCTGAAAGGTTTGTTCTGTTATACGGCTGAAAAAATTGTAGTCAGATCCTCACGTTTGCAATTGCATTTTGTAATCTTTGGTATTACCAATTATAACTTGTAATCTTTGGTTGTTCCCTTTCTCCAGCAATGAGATCATCAGCTGAAGGGAGAATCTCTGTAGAAACAAACACATGCTGTGTGGGATAAGCTGGAGCACTATCTCCTACTTTTATTCTGTTACGCTGCAATTGAAGAATTTCTATTAACTCACCCTTCTTTATGATTCAACTAGTGCCTGGAGCTGAAACCCAGCCTAGTCTCACACTGAGGTGTCCACAGATGCCTTGTCACCACGTGTCTCCCAAAGCTTCTGTCAGGGTTTGGGTTCACTGTGAGGCACGGTGTTGGCACCGACTGACACTTTGTTCTTTGCTCTCCCCAGTTGGTGACAGGAGTATGGGAGGGAGGATACAATTTCTACTGTCAGGACACACGCAGTGGAGGTGAAGCTGATATGAAGGTAATGTAATCAAGACTTCAGGCTAATTACATTTTCAATTGTCTCCTTGAATGTAAGTAGAAAGCAGAATGGTATTGATCATGCAGTTTTTGTTCAAACTGTGTGTTTTTTTCTCCTTCCACAGTATGGATGGGTGATGCATGGTCAGACATAAGAATTAATCAACAGTATATTCATTGATATTTACAATTTCTGTGAATAATTGTATGTACACTTCCATGTGTTCCCAGCTCAAAAAACAGAATTGGTCTTCAGTCTGTATCTGGCCACTGTGTGTCCGTTCTCTGTCTGTGGGAAGGTGTGGTGATGATTTCTTCTCAGATCTTGCCTTTACAGGCAGCACTACAGCATTTTTTGCCATAGTTTACTAAATACTGTGTGGTCACAATGTGCAGGACTTTTAAAACTTGTTTCCTCCTTTCTAGATCATACGTGTCCTCTGGTGGTATTATTTCTCCAAACTCATTGAGTTCATGGATACCTTCTTTTTCATTCTGCGGAAAAATAATCACCAGATCACTGTCCTGCATGTCTATCACCATGCAACGATGCTGAATATTTGGTGGTTTGTTATGAACTGGGTGCCTTGTGGTCACTGTAAGTACTGGGTTATGATGGGATATGCTGGCATCAGAGGCCTTGTTTTGATTTTCATTTGGTCAAATCAAACATTTCTGGTATCTTCAAGTGCAGGATGTGTTGTTTCTGATGCTAAGCTATTTTGCTGAATTGCAGCCGTTGCTGGAGATATTAAGATGCCTGCGGGGTGTCTGGAAAATACATGACTATATAGCTTGAAGATTTTACTTGACAGTTTGACATTTGTTTTCTGCAGCAGTCCAGGTCTGGCACCTATCAGCCTTGCTTTCTCTTTTTTTGGAGACCCTCAAATGAAACAGTTTTTTTTCCAAGGAAGAACCAGAAATGTGTTTTGACTGCAAGATGTCTAATAGTGACACTTGTCCTTAAATCTGTAAAGTTCACCTGAGATGTAACTTTCACAAATTAATCTCATTTTATATTCGTAACCACAACAAATGATTTCAATTAAAATGTTGTTGTCCCCTGAGCACTAATGAACTTGACTGAATGTGTCTTAAGTGAAAGGTTTCCGTGTCTCTCTTGTCTAAATCCTTCCAACCTCTGGCAACCTTGGCAGATTCTTTAATGTCCTTTGTTTTTCTTGTCATCTACTTTACTAACTGTATTAGCGTGGTTCAGTTGTGGTTCAGATATGCACGTTAATCCAAGAGAAACCTTTTGAAATCCAGGTGGTGTGAACTAGCAGCAAGGCAGACCAAGTAGCTGGATTGCTCAGGAGTCTGCTTTCCTAGCCAAACAACATAGAAACTCATATTTGTTTTGTGTTGTCAGCACGACAGTGAGTAATGTTGAACTTATGGGAAGCGTGCATCCAGAACCACATTTTCCTATAAAGAAGTCAATCTCTGTTTATAGAACAGTCCAAAGTGCAAGTACTTAGAGTCTATCTTGAGTTTTTGTGGTCTTGAAAATACTTCTGTGCTATTTCTGGTGATGTGTTTTTCTTCTTCCTTACCAATCTCTGTGTCGTGCGTGGTCATCCAGTACCACACAGTTTGGTGCTAAGCTAAAACTGAAATGTATTTGATGACTAAAGATGCTGCAAACAAGGACAAATGGAATGGTTAGCTTTCACATTCAGAAGCTCCTCGTTGCTTTTGCTTATAAATGACCAAATAGGCTCCCTCCCAGAAAGTGAAATTGGCCTGAAATTAGATTGGAGAAGCTGTGGATTGTTGGGCATGTTTACATGACTCATTTTTATCAGCTTCCTATTGACAAGATGGAGTGTAGAAAAATAATAAATAGAGCAGACAAAATCAGAAGGCTGATATACAGCACACAGTGGCAAAGCATCTCAAACACTCAGTTGAGTCAACATTCTCAGTTGAGTTTCAGGAGAGGGGAGTTTTTTGCATTTGTTCTAAGAGAAATCATATTTTAAATAGTAGCCATTTTGAGCTTTTGGTTCCATGTAACAGCATTTTCCTGGTAATTCAGGGTACTTTCTTTCTCCTTTGCTGTTTCAGCTTATTTCGGTGCCACACTGAACAGCTTTATCCATGTCCTCATGTACTCCTACTACGGATTGTCGGCTGTTCCAGCGATGCGTCCTTATCTGTGGTGGAAGAAGTACATCACTCAGGGGCAGCTGGTGAGTGATGAGCTCTTGTAGCGCTTCAGCAGGTTCTTGTGTTCTCAGTGGGATCTTTTGGCCTTTACCAACAGAAAATTTTGGTATGGATAGAAGGGGAAGTGAAATCTAAAAGCTTTTACATCTTCATGCACACAGATCACTTCAGAAATCCAGCTTCAGTCTCTCTGTACTGCTTTCAGGGCAAAAGGGAGGTAGGAATTGATGGCGTGCATAGATCAGTGCTGAGCAGTTCAGTAGGATCTTTTTGTATCTCTCCAAGCTGTGTGGCAAGAGGTATTGGGGAATCTCAGTGCTGGGTTTTTGGGGTCTTTTTTGGGGTCTTTGGAGCTGTGTAGGCAGTGTGCCTGTCTGGGTGCTTGTTGCTCAGGCTGATACTGAGAGGGCAGAGCAGAAGCAGAGTGCTACACAGTCTGCAACTAACAAGGCCCTTCATTCTAGTCCTGCAGGACAATGGATTTTCTGTCCCACTTTTTGCATGCAGTTGCAAATGGTTTATTAAAAACTGTTCAATATTTCTGTTCTCCTTCCGCACTTTAAATGGGCAGATTTTTTTTCACTTGTAATTCTGCGTTGTGTTTGTTGCATCCATTTGTTTTGTTTCCTGGGTGTACAGAGATGATGCCTGAATGCTGTGGACTGGGGGTGAAAAGAGCACTGAAATTAAGCAGTGAGGCACATGCTGCAGTGACTCTGATGTGTATAATGTGTCAGAGCTGCACAAGAAAGTGTGCATAGGCATTTTGTTCTCCTCGTTTTATAGATGGGAAAGACAAAGCCTAGAGGTTTTTTAAATTAATGTTTACTTCTATGATTCTTTTTCTCCCCACTTCTCTCCCCACTCAGAACTCTGATTAGGTTTGGTAGTATTTGCTGGTGATTGTCAGCAATTCAGAGTTCAATTCTCAAAATCCTTTTTCTTAGCACTGTTTCTTCCAGAAGGAAGGTGAAGCACAGCAAAGTTCTGTGTGGTTTAGCAGGTTGTTTTGTTCTGTTTTGTTTCCCTTCCAGATTTGGGCCCTGTTCTTCATCTGTGCTGCCTGAGCACTGCAGATTGCAACTGCCTCTGTGGTGTAGCTGCTCCCCTGGCTATTGTCACAGCACTTCCATTTCCCTGCCTGCTCTGCATGGCAATTGCATCTCTTTTCAAATAAACATTCCCTAATCTGGTAGCCTTCATGTAAGGATGGATTTTTTGCCTGAAGGCCTTTGCAGCACATAAGCCCAAACTGTTGATTTTTTTCCAAAAGAGAAAACCAAAGGTAGTTGTAAACAGGTGTAATGAACCTCTAATCTCTTGCATGCATCCGTTCCCCCAGCTTCTCTGCTTCATATGTGCAGTTTTTGACTTAAAATTCTCTCACTGGAGCCATATATAGGGTAGTCTCAGCCTGTGGAAGAGGTGACGCTGGATTTTTAGCAGAGCTACTGTGTTAGGCTGGCAGAGCCAAACCCTGGTGAGCTCTCCCTCGGGAGGTGGTGGTCTTTGTTCCCTAGGACACTTATAAACTGATTCTATGTACATTACAGTAATGCTCTAAAATGGAACAATATTAAATAAAATCACTTAAGCAACAGAATATCACAACCTGAAAGTCTTGCTAAATCATGTTTACTTTGTTTTAGTAAAATAGAGAAGAAGAATGCATCAACCTTAGGACGTTTTGGAGACACCTAATTAGGTTTTGGTCAATAATGGCTTTTTCCCTTCTTGCACTGACGTGCTCTGGTTTTTGTTTTGTTTTGTTCTGTTTTGTTTTTTCTTTCCCCAGATTCAGTTTGTCCTGACAATCTTCCAGACCAGCTGTGGTGTTGTTTGGCCATGTGCATTTCCTCAGGGGTGGCTGTATTTCCAGATTTTTTACATGATTTCTTTGATTATCCTCTTCACAAATTTCTACATTCAGGTAAAAGTCATAATATTCATAGATTCTTTATACATTCTGCTGTTTTGTTTCATTGGAAAGCTGTTTTACAGAAAGATCTGCTTGAAATAGCCTTTTTCTTCCAGCAGCATGCATGCATTTTTAATGTATTATACTTGTTGGTCTACCCACAACTTCGAGAGCTTCAGGTGTGCTGTCTACAAAATTCAAAACTGTTAGAAATCTCTATAAGCAGAGTATCACAGAAACACATTTTACTAATGCAGTTTTAACTACAGATAAGGGAGAGGAGGAGCTTAATTTAGGAAACAGTTTTTCATTTTGAAATAGAACAGCAACCTCTGAAGTGCACAAGCAAATTGTTTCCTACTGTTCTTACAAGGGTAAATGCTTAGTTTATTTGCCTGAGAAACATCTGAAACTATCAGCACACAAAAATCTGGTTTGCGTTCACCTCATAAGCATTTCCACGTGGAAAATTAGCGTTTTGAATTGAGTTTCTGTGGCATTTATTTCATGTCTGAACAGATCTAGACTCAATCTATGTTGTTCAGAGTAGGTCACACTCAGGCTCTGGGCGAAGATGTACCTGTCTTCAGGAAATCAACCCCATGCAGTCCCATGCACTGACCTCAAACAGTGTTACCTAGTTTAAATGTCTCTTTTTACACTCTTTTCACCTGAACCTTTCAGGTCTGGTGAGAGTGACTGAGGCAGGAGAGAACATAGCAGCCGTCACCTTTCTGATCTTTTGGTGTTTCTTAAAATCAGTCCTGTGCTCCTGATCCCTTCCTGCATATGAACAGGCAAATTAAAGATGATCGTATACCCCAAATATTATTCTACTTCCCTCATTAGGGTTACTCATATTTTAACTTTCCTTCACGTGCACAGTTTGGAAATGTGTTCTCATCAGGCAATTGAACCCCTTTGACAAAGATTAAGTCATGCGTATTTTTTCACTGTCACTAATTTTTGTGCTGAGTCTCCTGAAAGCTGTTGGTTTTCACTCCTTTCTTGCTTTGCAAGTCTGCTGCAGCAAATTTGTTTCATATTTCTGTCTGTGAAACTGCCCTCGCTGTTCCTGTTTACCCACTTCTTGTTCTGTCACTGCTGGACATAGTCACCTGCAGTGCATCAAACCTCCCTCCTCCCTTGTCATTTTGAGTATATTCTTGTGCCATAGTCTGCTCATAAAATTGCTTCCCTGCTTCTAATTTACTGTTAACATATTACTGCCAGTGCTACCATCGTGCAGCAATCCCTGTTCCTTGCCAGTGAGCTAATTCTCTTCTTGTGATGAATGAAACACACAACGTAGCCTCATACACAAAAAATGTTAGCTTGTTAGACTGCTGCCAGCACAAGGCCTTGACGGATGCAGATTTACTTCTAGCTTCTTCAATTGCTGTGAGAAGATTGTCTGAAATCTGTTTAAGTAAAACCATGTGTCTTTCTGTATATTCTAGACTTACAACAAGAAGGCATCCTCGAGGAGGAAAGAGTATCAGAATGGCTCTACAGCCACTGTGAACGGGTACACAAACAGCTTTTCTTCCCTTGAGAACAATGTGAAACAAAGAAAACAAAGGAAGGATTGAAGACCAAACTGAAAAACCATTTTGATAACCCCAACAACAAAATCATCTGATTGTAAAAGCACAATAAGAGTTGTGCACTAATACTCTAATGGCTACTGTAACTATTCCTGCCTAGAATAGTGTGACTTATGTAGGACTTAACCAGTGCAAACACCCTAGAAACTGTATACAGAACATAAGAGTAGGTTGAAGTTTAAAAATAATTCTGGGCTGTCACTGACCCCGCTATAGACTGTGGAAGGGAGTGTTATTGTAGTATATGACACTGCTGTTGCCTTACTAGTCAATACGATAGGTGCTGAATTATGATTCACAATTTGAAAACACTGTAATCTAAACTCCATTTTTTTTACTGTAGATCATGCATGTGATTGTAGAGGTAATTTGTATGATGCTGGTTTCAGTAGTTAAACACACATGCCTTAAATTAAAAAGCAGGGCCCAAAGCTTACGACTGGTTTAAAAATTAGGGTATGTTTCAACTTTTCAGTTGACTGACTTTTTATTAAAAAGTCGTGTAGAAGAATCCATGATCATTTTACTGGTCTGTATGTGATACACAGTGTTAGGTATCTCTTACGTGATACAGTGAAATTAGAAATGGTGCATTTAGTTTTGTATATTTGGCTTTAACTGACTAAGCAGTCACAAACCAGATGGAAAAGTTATTTTACCTTTTTAATAGATCTTATTTTTTTATTTGAAGTATGTCACTACTGTAAAATTAATTGGCGCTTACTCAGTCCGGTAAGACTTACATATTTGTCTCTGAGGTTTAGGGTATATACAGGGTGGACCCATCTTTTATTTTCTCTTTCTTATTTCTGGGAATTCTTCAATGCTAAATGAAGAGTGGTTTTTAATATGGAAACTGGCAGAATTTCAAGTGTTGTTACCATAGCCATATCCACACTTTAAGAGCTACTGTTTAAATCTGTAACGTATCCAGAGGTGTATTTAAAAGCGAAGACGGAAGGATGCTTTTCTGATGGAACCCTCTGTGTTTAAGTTGGTAACTGTGTTGGTCTTCATGTAGCATATGTTCATTTTTAAAATGTGCCTAACAAACATCTTTTCCCACACAAGCAAAATTCAGTGGTCTAAGTCAAACGTAATGTTTTTTAAGTGTTACTGAAATGTGCTGGAGGTGTCTGTTCCTGTAGTGTGAGTTGTGTTTGTCACCAGTAATGTCTTGGCTTGTTATCTGAGGATTTGTTTAGAGAGCTTCTAAGGTTGCTCCTGTAAAATGTTGCCTTGCACATATGAGGAGCCAGCTGCAAAGCTGAGGTCTGTTGCTGGGATGTTACTCTGGTATCTGCCATGGTGGAGCCTGGCTTATGAATATCTCATTCATTAAGCTCTGAGAAATGGAATTGTGCAAGATGTTCAGTTGGTTATTGCTCAAGTTTAGCTATTTTTGATATTTATATAAATGCCAGTTTTAACTTGTTTAATTTTTCTTTTTTTAAATTAAACCTTTTTAAAATTTTTTGCACATCTCTTAGGGAATTAATAAGTTTTCCTGCTACCCTTGTGGGTTTTCATTCCTTGTTTTGAAGGAGACAGTGTCTGTCATGTTTACATTATCGAAGCTCGTGTGTGTGTCTTCATTTCTAGGTACTGGTTTGCAGAGTCTTTACATAGCTCAGTACAGCAGCTATACTGTTCAAAATAGGCTGTCTAAACGTGCTAGAAATAAACTCTTGGCTCATCTGAGTATACCTACGTTGTTAATGTTTGACATGGTTTAATCATTAAAACACTTTTGATGATCTCTGCCTGAATTTTATAGTGGGTTTGTACAGATGTACTGTATTGCTGATTCCTGTGTAATGCCAAGAAGAAGTTGTCTTGACCAAAGGGCAGCTGCAGATATTTGGAGAAATTTAGCATGCCAGAGATTTGGTATCACATTCCATGCAAAAAGCTTTGGCTGAATACGGATCCATTGCCTGGCTGCAGAAATTATCTGTGCAGTGGACTAAACCTCCCAGTGGAATTAGTGAAAGCAGAACACCCCAGGTGGCTCCGAGGCTGAGTCTTGGGAGCGAAACTTAGCATGGGCTTTCTGCCTCATGTACACAGTCTATAGAATGGGAATGATACCTTTCTCCAGAATGTGGGCACTTTTGCAACTTCTCTATAGCTCCTATTGCCCTTTGAGTGGTCATTTCTGAGCCCTGGGTGGTTTGAGCAGCAAGCTCAGACAGCTTGATGGTGGACTTATTGAAAACAGAAATACTTAAAAATATAGCTGTCTTCAGGTTTGCAGGCTCTCAATACAAGAAACCTAGAGCAAGGAAATGGATTTTGCATTTTATGTGAAAGGCTCAGAGGTTTTGTGTCATTCTGGTTACTTCTGGCAGGGAGCTCCAGGTAACTGCTAAGGCAGTTTCTTTCTCCTGCATGTGCAGAGTCAGCTGGAAAACAAGTGTTCTGAACAGGGCTCAGAAGGCTTACCAGGGACAACACAGTACCTTGGATGCGGAGCCTAATCTGCAGGTTGTGTTCCTTGAAGGCTGTAGCATCAACCCAGCCTTGCCCAGAGAGCTGTGCTCCAAGCCTACCCTGGCCAAAAGGATGTACAGCACCAGTAACCTTCATACCTGCAGGTCAGAAGGCTGGCTCCTAGGCGCTTTTCTACAGTCTCAGCAGCAGCTGCCATGTGGATGAGAGCTGTAGGGGTTCAGATCTCACTTCACCATAACCAGCAGCCAACCTGATGGGCTGAGTCTGGACCTCTGCACCTTGTTCTGCTTCCAATGCACTGCCCAGCCTGGGGCAAATAGCAGCCTTTGTGTTGCCTGCTGTTCTGTTCATAGATATAACTGCCTGGGGCTTGGGATCCTCAGGGTCCTCTGAACAGACCTTTGGTGTTGTAAAGGCTGGAGTGGTGAAAAAAGACTGGCTGCTGCCACGGGCCTGGAGGGGTTTCGTATGAAACAGGCCAAGGAGAAAAAAAACATCACTTCAGTGACTGTTTGCAAAGAGCGAATGACCAAGCTGCGAACTGTACCATTAAGATCTCATGTAGTTACAGTTAGTGAGCCGACCACATCACCTCTTTTGTTGGAACCCTGCAGGATTTAGTGGTGGAGGGGGAGGAGGGCAAATGCTTCTGTTCGACACAAAGGGGCCACGAAGCCATGGCAGCACAGCACAGCTGTTCTTAGAGCAGTCCTGATGTGAGTACCCACAGAGCTCTGTTGCTGTGGCAGGAGGCACTTTGAACTGGTGGCACATAGCTACCGGTCTGGGAGGTTTGCAGAGGGTAATGCAAAAGCAGAGAACAACACTGACAGTTTAGGAAGTCTTCTGCGTTGTTTATTTCACCTGACACAGATCAGGTATTAAACAAATGCTGGAGCTTCTGATAGGCCTTTTACAACCAGAATTAGAGCAGTGAGACCCCCTAAAACACCTGGTGGAGTTTTCTTGGGGTAGCCTCTACCTTTGATGTTTGATTGCTGTGTTGAGGGACAAGTGGATAAAAATGTGTGTTGTGTGTGTCTGGAATAAATTGTTAAAAGGGTATTTTTTATTTATTTATTTATTATTTATTATTTAAAAAAACAAGTGTAGAAGTAAGCTGGATGCTGAAGGAAAATGTGAATAAATCATGGTTTGTGTTTCAAGGATATACAATGTAGATGCTGTATTTTCTATAGGAAGAATGTAAATAGTGGCACCAGGTCACTGGTTGGCCTGAGAGTCTGACCTCCGTGCAGTGCAAGGCTTCGGAATATGTAGGAGTGGTTGAGAGAAAGGAATTAAACACAAAAGGGGAGAAATTGAATAGGTTTTCTGAAAGCAACTCACACGTCTTGCTGTTATTGCACAATAAAAATACTGTCAAAAAGGAAATTCATATTTTATCCATCTGCAGTAGGTAAAGAATTTAATCTCGTAACTAGTTATCTAAACTGAAGACTGTGGTGACCCAGCATTAGGATCTACAGTCAGGCAAGGGTCAAACTGGTGAGGAGGTGCTGTGTCCTGATGCTTTCAGCCTGAAGGCAGCCCATTAATAGTGCTTTCAGTAATGACTATAAAAAGTAGCAATATTGGCAGATGACAATGCTAGGAAACTGCATCATTACCAAGCTAGGGGGAGATTGTATTTCCTACAGCAACAACCAGATGTCCCAGTCCTGGGTGGCTGCAGTGAGAGGCAGGATTAGTGTATGAAGTCATTCCCTCAGGGACCAGCACCAGAATTCCAGTTTTAGTTGGAAATAACTGAAGAGGAGAGAAAGATATTTTGTAATCATCTGCTCATAACTCAGAAAGGAAAAAAAAAACACCCTCATTTGCTAATCAGTCTGTATTTAGTAGAAACAGGAACGTGCTGTGACAGGAAACTGATGCTTTGGTGAGGTTTCCTTCCAAGGGACACATTTCTCCTCCCAACTACTGTCACTCATCTTCAAGAAAACTGAGCTGAAAAGAAGCTGTACGGATGGGGTGGTCAGAGGAATGGAGAAGCCTGGCAAGGGGAGGGAGGGATCCACACTGGAGCAGGGCAGAAAGGAGGAATGAGCAGCAGAGAGGAGCTGTCAGGGCTGACCACAGCCTCGTTCACCATCAGTGCTGCACTGCTTGGGCTGGAGCGTAACAGCGAAGCTGTTTCTGGACAGAAGAAGGATGGCAAGAAGGTGGTGTGGGTATTGTCTTTGTTTCTCACCATTCTATCCTTATCTCAACCTTCAAACTTATCACCTTATCTTCTCTCCATGCCCTGTAGAGGAGGAGGAGGAGTGAGAGAGTGGAATTCTAAAGGGGACCAATAGCCGTGATGCAGCCAGAGCTCTCACTGCCTGGGGAAACACTCCCTGGAGTGAAGCAGCCACATTCTTTCACCTTGTTTCTTCCAAGTACAGCCCATGGCAAGGCATCACCTTTTCCAGGAACCTCCCCTGTAGTTTCTGGAAAGATTTTGAAGGTGATAGATGAACCTCCTGCCTGCTGAGGAAAGGTGCCACAGTGGCACCACGTATGGTAGAAGCCAACCCTCAGCAGAAAGGTCAGAACTTTCCTGGTGGGAAGAATTACCTCACACTAAGAGGCAGAAGGAGCCCTGTTGTTTTAGAAAGGGATTGGGCAGCAGTGCAAGAGCAGGAGAGGAGGATCATTCGCACTGCATTTTGTTTGGGAACAGGTAGATCTTGGTGGGAAATGAATCTGTTCACATAAAAATGCAGTCCCCTATGAGTTGGCTCTGTCTTTGCGTTTGCTTTTCCTGAGTTGGTGTGGAGGGGAATGCATAAATACTGTGGCACGATTTCATTGTTTCTGCTATATTCACAGCATCCCCTGTAGGATTAGCCAGCACAGAGTGATGATCAACACTATGTGATGATAAATTACCTGGTTGAAGTATTTAAAGAGAAAGCAAGAGACATATGTTCCATGCATACTGAAGTACTGCAGCATTTGTGTGGCTGCCTGGCCACATGGTGTCACGTCCCATTGAGCAAGCAGGAAACCTGTCTTCATGAGCTGCTCTACCTGTCACTAGAAGCCAATGTTTGCTAAATGCTACGAATACCATTTTACCCGCTGCTTAGGAAAGCAGCATCTCAAATCACACCACAAAAATAGGACTTCTGGGGGAAAAACAAAGGGAATCCATAGCCTGCGTAGTTATTTAAATATATTACTTCCATTAAAGTCAATAGGACCTCGGTGCCTCAGGGCCTTTCTAGGGCTAAGTTCCTAATATGCTTCTGTGCCTTTGGAAAGGATTCCCTCTTTGAAAGTTCTTCTGTTCATTTCCCAGTTTGTTTTGCTTCCCACAGCACTTGGGGAAGTGCTGGGAGCTTCTCGGGGTGTGCTGAGCTGCTGCAGCCTCTCTGATGCAAATGAACTTCTGCTCACTGGAATAGCAATGAGTTTGCAGAAAAGACTAGGAAATACCTCCTGTGCATACAGATGGCCTAACTATTATTGGCTGTTATCAGCTTTGTTTCCTTTTTATTTTTTTTAAGATTTTTGAAAGTTGTTGTGAAAAACATCCCCCTAGCTTAAATAAAGAGCTAAGGAGTCCTCCTAACATCTCATCCTCAGTTGGAAATGTTGGGGAAATGTGCTGGCTATGCCCATTGTTACAGAATCACAGAGTTGCTTGGGTTGGAGAAGACCTTAAAGACTACCAATTTCAACCCTCTGCCATGGGCAGAGCTGCCCCCTACCAGATCAGGATGCCCAGGGCCCACCCAACCTGGCCTAGAGCACCTCCTGGGTCTCTTCCAATTTGTGCCATCCTATGAGCCCCAAACCAACCAAACAAGCAGAACCCCAAAACCTATCACAGCCTTCCCAAATTCCCAACCCTTTACCACACTTCTGTAAGGAAGTATTTTTCCTACTGCCTGCTTCAGCACATTCTTGTGAGCCCCAACGAAAGGTGTGCGTCACAGCAGGGGTGCACATCTTGCTATTGCAGGATGCCCTCTCCTGGCGGCACAAGAGAGGCGACGGAAGGGTGGGGGGACAGGCTGAGCCTCCTATGGGTCCTCTACAAAAAAAGAGATCTGAGCAGGAGGAAAATTTTTAGGTGGAAAGATCTCTGCTCTCTATTTGAAACACCCACAGCAGCTCCTAGCAGAATAACAGCATAGTCACAGATATGGAAAGTGTTGCAGTTACAGTTTTGCAAAGTGGAGATGAGAGTGAAATAATGTCCTTTGTCTCACTGCTGCAAAGCCTTTACAATCAGGAGTTAGTGTGAGAAGAGGGGACATAAAGGAAGATGAGATTAAAAGGAAGTGTA